TCTGCCTAGAGCCACTTCTCTCTTGAGTTGTGTCTCAGAAGTGTCCATCTCCTTGGGTGAGGGACACTCAGACACTTCGTGCACGATCATTGGTGGTACAATAACAATTTCTCCACCTCTCTCTTTTCCTGTAGAGTACAGAAGCTCTCTATCAAGCCGAGTCCCCCGATTCAAGCCAGAGTGATAGAAAACGTGTCTGTGCCGAACAGTTATAGACTTTCTTTTTCTTGGTATTATTCTGCAGATGGTACAGCACAGTGTATTTACATTATATTTAGTATTTTAAGCCATCAAAGTGATTTAAAGTATACAGGAGCCAGGTGTGGTGGTACATCCCCTTAATTCCAGAGAGGCAGGTAGATCTAAGTTCCGGGCCAACTTGGTCTACATAGTGAATTCTGCATTCGCGGATCCCACACCCAGGGCTACATATTGAGACCCTGTCATAAAAACGAATGAAACTGTGAATACAGGAAGGTGTGTGGGTTGCATACAAATACTGTGTCATTTGATACCTGTGACTCTCATTTCTCACCCCAGAGTCCTACTCTCCATACTCTGTGTGACACCTACAGTCCCTTTCAAGATGCCAAGATGGCCACGGCAGCCATAAGCATTCCACAGAAGGTCCCAGGCTCTGACCGGGATCTTCTTTTTCGCGCCACTGACACTTGACCAGAAGCCTCTACCCTTGGAAAGATTCCATTAGCTTCCTCTCAGTGGCCAGTCTGATCACAACGCTGCTTCCTAAGCCACCGTCAGTCACGGGGGTGAGAATCCACGCGGTCGACTTAGAAAACGGATCAGCCACCTGCTCGGCAAGCTGCGCCTGAAGCACGGGGCGGTGTGGGTTAACTGAACAAAAGGCAAATTTCTGTCAGGGGTGAAAAAGGGTGTGTTGGTTGAGTGGTTAAGCAACCGTGATTACGATAGCCACTCACTGGGATTCTGGTGTGCTCTCCTGGGGAGATCGAGGGGTTATCATTAGAACAATGGGAGGGGTTTATAATGCCATGCGTCTCCTGGGGGTGTGTGATGAGACAGCCTAAAATACACCTTAGCGTGAAGGTGGACGTCTCCTTGCCTGTCTGTGCCTAGTCTTCACTCTGCATGTTAGTGCTTTCTGATACAGCTAGTCCTCTTTGTATGGCTCTGAAAAGGGAAATGCCCCATGTCACACTTAGATAATACCAGTGATCAACAGTTCTGATTTCAGCTGCCATGGGATACTTACACGAGTGATTACAGAAAGTGTCAACTCACCGCCAGCTTTTAGTTCACTGATCACCATATACGTAACAGCACATCCATTGTTAGCGGTGGCCAGTTGTGTCTCTTGTGTGCACTCCAGGGGAAAGACAGCTCGGATGTCCACCGATACGGGCTTTGGATGTCAGACCGATGAGGTTGCACTTGCCCCTAGAGGGTGTGCCCGTTGTTCACACTGCTTGCTGTTTACATAATTGAAACTTTCTGGAGAGCAGGGCAGCCCTCTCAAGCTGCCATGAAAAATGGCCTAAGTAGGCATGAAGGAGGAAAGCCGAACGGCTCCCAGAGTGTAGAGGGAGGGCTCTGCAAAGTTTACATGCTTTGTCTCTCACCAGCACCGGCAGGAAGGGAGCGCCCAGGCCTCCAGCAGCCATGTCTAGATGCAGGATTGGAAGGGAAGAGAGAAGTGAGCCTCGAAGGCTGTCCGTCCATATTAAGAACTGGAGTCAGAGTTTCCCCAGTGTTGTGTTTTGACCTTTGTTTTTGTGAGAAAACATCAAAAGCAACTTGTGTTTATCCACAGAGTCCACACGGTGAGGGAAACATGGCTGCAGGAAGCCGGAGCAGGAAGCTCAAGGTGGGATTTCAGTCAGGAAGAGGAAACGAGGCTACAAACTCTCAAAGCCCGCCTCCAGTGAACCACTTCCTCCAGCAAAGCCACGCCCCCCCAGTGACCCACATCCTAAAGGTTCCACAACCTCAGAGAAGAGCACCAGCAGCTGGGGACAAGTATTCAGACACCTGAGTCTGCGGGGACACGGCTCACTCAAACCTCCGCACCACGTGTGTTACTCAGTTCACACGCAGACAGCTGAAGTTCTCTCCCAATGCTACTCACATTCTCCATCTGACTAGTGGTTAAGCGAAAGAAATAACTAATAAAAAGACACAGCCAAGAAGCAAACTCTTGATGATTCTGCATGTGAGATACCAATCCCCCCGTCAGTAGAGTCATGAAGAAACAGCTGTGTACAAAGTTTCCCTCCCCTGTTCAGAAACTCCTGGTGTGCAGCCAGAGGAAGTCCTTGATGCCAAGGCTATTTTTTTTTTTCATGAAAAAGGAATGAAGATAGTTCAGAGGAGATGGTGCCAACAAAACACTTAGCGTCCAGGGAACGTTGGGAGCTGCTTCAAAACATAGAAAGCACAAAGAATAAAAAGTTGGAAGCTGATCCGACTTTAGAGAAGACTACAATTCACCAATCTACAAGCAAATAGAAGTAAAAATAGAATTACTGTAAGATCCAGCCATCCCTGTGTTAGTCATAAGTCACCAATCTACAAGAAAATAGAAATAAAAATAGAACTACTATGTGATCCAACAATTCCCGAGTTAGTCAGCTTTCTGGAACTGTAGCAAAGTACCTGAGGTTATCAGGGCACGGGAGGATAAATGTGTTTTGGCTCACATGTTTGGAGCTATCTCCCATGACTAATTGCCCCGAAAGTTTTGGGCCTGTCATGAGTGCACATGATGGCAAATGATGAAAAGGATGGGAACCTCAATATCTTCATTTGAAGGCATTCCTTTGATGACTAACTGCCTCATGTCTTTTTTTCTTGACAGGAGTGTCTTACTATGTAGCATAGGCTAGCCCTGAACTTACAGAGATTCACCAGCCTCTGCCTCCCAAGTGCTGGAATTAAAGATGTGCACCACCACATCCAGTTCAGTGTATCCATGCAACGGGAGATCGTTCAGCCATTAAAAATGAAATGCCGTCTTTTGCATTGTCTGGAACTGTTATGTTAAATGGAGTGAACCAGATGCAGAAATATAAATACCATATGATCTCACTCACGTGTGGGTTCTAGAAATCTTCCCATCAGAGAGGGTCAGGAGTACAGGGCTGGAGGAGTGGAAGGGAAGGAAAACGGAGATTGGTCAATGGGTATTTGGTATGGCCAGGGCAGGAAGTCCCTGCGTGTCATTGCACTGTAGGTTGGTCATGGATGACAACAACATAGTGTACATTTCAAAAAAACTAAAATAACGACTTCAGGGTTTTCACCGTGAAAAGGTAACAAGGGTGTGAGGAGGCATGTCTAATTTGGTTTAAATATTAGTGTGTGAGCATCAAAGCATCACATGGTTCCCTGTTGGTGTGTGTAACTAATTATGTGCCCACTAAAACAAATTTAATTTAAAAGAGTTCGCCAAAGCACAGGATGTGCACATGAAGGTCTTTTGATCAGGCCCCACTTTGTGAAACAGAACCCTTGGTTTTCTGAGGCTGTGCTGCCTCCAAACCTCTTAGTTCCTCCTTCCCATTTCCTCCATTTCTACCTCTTCCGCAGTGGCCACCCCAGGTTCTGTTCAGGTCTTCCGTGTGTGTTGAGGTAATGTTGACGGTGGTCTTTTGGAATAGCGGGCAGTAATTGCTCCTAAGGCAGGGTATGAGAGCACTCTATTTATTACACGGTCTGGGCTTAAGAGCAAGCACAGAGAACCAAACACCTTTATTTATATTGTTATCTGTGATGGTTTCATTCATTTACCCATGCATTCATCCATCCGTGTAATGCTAGCTGACTTTCTGGTGTGTGCCAACGCTGTAAATGCCAGAGTTCCCTCGAGCGACCTTGATAACTGGCTTAAAACAACAAACATACATTGAACCTGAACCCTATGGAGTTCTTTCCAAAACCCCCTCATATAAGCCATTCACTATTCTAGTATACTTATAGACCTGCTTTGTGGAGAAGAGATAATGTTTTGGATACCGGGCTCTCCAGGCCACAAGTGGCCTGTCTGTTGGGAATCAGTTTAATTCTTTGCGTTTCTATCATGCTTTGGGATTTGCAGCAGGCCATATGGTTTCTTGTTTTGTTGTTCATTCGTATTTACGTTTTTGTATCAATGATAGAGTTTTCTCGTCCCTATAGAAGAGACCCTCACCTTTAAATGTGACCCTCTAGGTTCTAGCCCCAGGATAGGGGAAAAAAGAAAAAAGAGGGAGTTTATAAAAGAATTTCTAAAACCAATTGTGATCGCCTTTGCGAAATAATGAGACTTCTTCAACTTTCATTCACAGAGAGTCAGGGGCATGCGCAATGCATTAGTAAACCTAGTTCTAAATAAGGCTGAAATTCGGTGAGTAACGTGATCACTCTCGGCGAGCGTGCCAGCTCCTATCATGTTTAGAACCCAGTGTTCTGAGGCGCTCGAGTTCACGCGGAGGAATTTGCTAAATAAATCGCTGGCAAGCTCCGGCCGCTTTAAACACTTTCAAGTAGAAAAAGCAAAATAACCCACCCATGCCAATTCCTAAGCCTCGGGAGTTTGGGGCCCTGGACATCTGAGTTTTCACCTGCTGGCTTCCCCAAGGATGCATTTACTGAATTTGTGGGGCTGCAACTCAAGTGTCTGAGTGACAGCACGGCAAAACCGCACACAGAGCCACGGACCCGCCAGGCTGCCCGGGCTTCAGCCAAAGTGGCGTCCACACCGAACCGCGCGTGGGCCAGGCCGGGGACCTGAGTTCGGGGTGCTGATCACAGGCCACGCGCTTTGCGACGTGTCCGCGGGGCGAGCGGCTAATAAAAAGCACGCGTTTCTTAGGAACTGATCGCGGTGAAAGCAAACCACGAGTGGAAATGCGCGGAGGAGGGAGGGCGGGCTGGGCTGGGAGGACAGCGGTGACCGAGAACGAGGCCCCCAGCCACGGAGCGGAGCGTGCGCCTCGGTCCTCCGGCCGGCAGGGGTCCCGCTCCGGCGCCGCGCCGCGCCGCGCCTGCGCTCCTGCCCCTCCCGGTCCGGGATGCTGCTGCCGCTGCTGCGGAGGAGCTGCTTCCCTTCCTCCTCTCCCGGCGGCGGCGGCGGCGGCGCGGAGCGGCTGGACGGGGCGCGGGGGCCCGGGGCGCGCGGACGGCGGCCCGAGGGCGAGCCGTATGCGTGCATGGATCCGAGCGCCGCGCTGCACCGGCGGCCCGCGGGCGGCGGCCTGGGCGCGGTCTCCCCGGCGCTGTCGGGCGGCCAGGCCCGCCGGAGGAAGCAGCCCCCGAGGCCGGCCGACTTCAAGCTGCAGGTCATCATCATCGGCTCCCGCGGCGTGGGCAAGACCAGCCTGATGGAGCGCTTCACCGACGACACGTTCTGCGAGGCCTGCAAGTCCACCGTGGGTACGCTGGGCCTGGGGCGGGCGAGCCTGCCGGGAGGTCGGGGCCCGGTCCTCGGGCGAGCGCTCCCCCTCCCCACCCAGAGCCCGGTCCTTCCTTCCCGGTGCCTTCTCGGGTCATGAGGTCGGGGTGATGCATGCATCCGTGCAAACTCCCGGTGCGTTACACCAGCTCGCCAGGAAAACAAACGGCTTTGTGAGGTGGAAAAGTAAAGCCTGGGAGCCCAGCCGCCGGTGCAGCGCCCTGCGGTCAGCATCCTAAGCGGGATCCGACCTCTTAGTTTTACGGGATGAGCCAGGGCTTGCTTTCTCATTCCCGTGGTTTACTGGGAAGAAGTTGAAAATCCACTGCGGAGACCGTTCGCTCTAAAAGCTGCCCTCCAGCTTCTTGTCGTGTGTAGGGCAGAGGGATTTCGGCTGTGTTTATCCTTGACCTCAAGTAACCGGGTGACAGGCAAAGTGAGAACCGTTCCTCCAGTACTCACCCGAGGTCGGTGAGATCCGTAGGTAATAATGCCCCTGCTTACCCGTACACGGGGTCTGGATTCGAAATGCAAGGGCATGTTTTTAATGACGTTGGACTGACAGGAAAGGCTGCCCGGAGATCTCTGATTTGGGGTGACTCTGTAGAATAAACAGGCAGGAGGGACTGGGCCGGCTGATCTCTGTAAATTCAAGGCCAGTCCGGTCCACACAGTGAGTTCCATGTCAGGTAGCAGAACTACGGCGGTTTTAAGAACTTACTGGAAAATTAAACCTCCAGTTTCCACATTGACATTTTTAATTTCCTTTTTGAGGATTCCCGTTAATGCTTCTTTTTTTCCTTCCCTTTTTCTTATTTTTTTTTGAAATATTTTTTCTTTAATGTTTGTCTTGAGAATGTGATATTAAAATCCAGTAGCATAATTATACCTGTTGCAGATATCCAGTCTTGGCTCGTGAGCGTACATAGGGAGCTATTAACCAGGAAATGAGGCTCGTGTTATTTTGTTAGTATCTGACATAAGTGCAGAAGGGTTTGAATGCAGTTGAGAATTATCAGTCTTTTATGGCCCCACACTTACATACGGAACTATGAAAGGTATGATGATAGTGTTCAACTCGGAAGGAAAACTCAGTGCAGAACTAACACTATGAAAGCATCAGGTGATCGAGGGGCATGGTGGGTAGAGTCACTCTTCGGAACAGACAACCACACTCTAGAAATATTTTACTGGGGACATCGAAGTGGATGCTTGGAGACCTTGCCTGGCATGTAGTTCTGGGAAGGGTAGGCCTGCCCTGTGAGCTGGCAGAGTGACACCGGCCAATGGGACTATCTGGGAATGAGCAGGGAACCCGGCCCCTTACACACATAATTATATGTGCTTGTGTACGTGAGTCCCCCCACTCTGGGGGTGGTTGGATTCCCCCATGTTTTTGTTTACTCCCTATGCAGCCTGTAGTAACTAATTTCAATAAATTTGGGGGGTATTTTGTTTCTCAAGTTGAGAGAGAGATAACCGTGGCTTAATCGAAGCCTGAAGACACTAACCGCTAACAGGCTCCTCTTGAGCAGGTCGTCTGTGGGGCCCTGCTCAGTGCTGGGTTTCACGCTGCCCTGTGGGGTAAAGTGGAAAGCAGGGTGTGGGCTCAGTGTGCAAATGGTGCCAAGTTCACTGGGAGCCCGGTGACAGTGAAGAGTGCTTAGCTGCTGGGGCCGAGAGCTTCTTAGAGGATGTCTTCCCGTTGAACTGCTTGGCACTAAGTTCATTCCTTAAGTTCCTTTAGAAATCGCTGTTTAAATACGACTCTGGGTGTGCCTTTTAGCTACTGTTTGAACAGAAACTCGTGGGGTCCTTATGTGCCCCGTGGTTTTAGTTTCTTATCCCACCTTTGAAAGGCCCAGCCTCAGAAGACATATAAGAGCTTAGAGAAGTGATGCCAGCCTATTGGCCACGGTGCTGTGTTGGCTTCCTGGATGTCTTCTCTAGTTTATGTCTGCCTAAGCAGCCTGGACAGGCTTCAGCCTAGGCCACACCTGCTGGAGTTCTTGAACTGACAGCATAATTAAGGGTTCGTGGAACGGACGGCCATGAATAAGACTGCAGAAATGGCTGTCTGGCTTGCCTGTGAGTGTAGTCACAGCTGTCTTTACCTGTAAGTTTCAGAATGGGTCTGGAGGACATTGGCCACTTGACTCTTTGGTCTGGAACTTTTGGGGCTGACGTTTGGGTGAGAATAGTCGAGACGTACTTGTTTTTCTGGGTTAAAAGTCTGGTTTTATTTTGATTGCACTTCTGAACTTAAATGCAGTCTTGCAAACAATGGCACAGATGTTGAGTGTTTCACTGTAGAGAGAATTGTGGGAAGGGGTGCTGGAGAGACGACTCAGCAATTCTCCAGCTGCTCCTCCAGAGGACCTGGGTTCAGTACCCAGCACCCACCTGGCAACTCACGACCATCTGTATCTCCATTTCTAGAGGAGCTGATGCCCTTTCTTACCTCAGAGGGCACCAGGCACAAATGTTGTCCACAGATGCACATGCGGGCAAAACACCCATACACATAAAATAAAGAATTCCAGAATTCCCTTCCCCAACGTTGAGGAACAGCACAGCCTCCCCAGCTGCCCCGCCCACTGTCAGAGGTGATGTGAGAAGACAACTCAGCAGGTTTGGATGGCAGGCCCCAGAAGCAATGCGCTGTGATTGGGTTTATCTAGGGAGTTAGTATAAGCCTACAGGCTCATGCAGCATCCGCCTTGTGACACCCCGTGGCTATCGTTCAGAGAAAGGCTGTAGATTTCTTTGGAGTCAACTATGTATCAAAAATAAAAACCTAGTTAGACCCAGCCCCCCTTTGTGTCTCCACACTGAAGAAAGTTTTATTATGCCTGATGTCGGGAGTAGATACAGCCTCTTTTTTCCCACAGTCTGTGGACTCAGCCAGGAGCTATTTGTTGAGGCCCTGAACTAATTGGAGAAGAGAGGAGGCACCTGTGAGTATGATTTTGAGTATGATAGGTTAGAGTTGCTCTGTAGCCGGGGCATGGATACTTTGTTCCAACTACACATTGGTCTGAACTGGGAAAGACAATACATTGTTGTAAAGTAGTCATTCCACCAGATACTTTCAAGAGGTACTATGTGTCTACATCAGACCATTCTAGGAGCCACTTAAGGGCAGGAAGTTGACACCTGCGCACTTGGCTCATCCCATTAGAGGGGGGTGTGGCCACAAAGAGTGGCCATCCAATGTAAGAAAAGAGGTGAGAGCCATCGTGTTCCATCGTGTTCCATCTTTCTTTTGCACAGCTTTGATGTTGGAAAACAAAAATACATACCAACCCCAGTACCCTAACAGTGTGGTTTTGTTGTTATTTAATCCTGTAAAGCCAGGAAGCAACAATACAGACCTAACAGGGTACCGTGTGTGTGTGTGTGTGTGTGTGTGTGTGTGTGTGTGTGTGTGTGTGTGCGCGCGCGCGCGTGCATGTGTGTGCCACTGAGGTCCTCTCCCTCCTCTGCAGTGTGACAGGCTGCTGACCTCAGCTCTGGTGCTCCGCCTGCCTTCTTAGCTTACCAAGGAAAACAAGCTCCAGCCAACCTCTGGCGGGCGGATGAGGAGCCTTCCTGTTTCCCGCCCTTCTTAATGCAGAATCCTCTACACTTGGCGGCCAGAACCCTGTGATGTCATCGTTCCCGGTCAATAAAGACCTTGACTTTTTTCTCCCGTTTTCTTTCCCTTCCTCGTGTATTTGTGTGTGGGAGGGAGACAGATAAATTAGTTAGTACTCTCCTATTGGTGAACACGCTTTTTTTTTTTTTCTTTTAATTTTCACTCAAAGAGAAAAGCCCTTGTCCCTCAGCCACCATGGCCTTTCCCTGTGCTGTCCGGATTGGCAAGTTTGGCAGGTAGCAAGCTGGACCCCCGTTCAAGCTCTTCTGGAAGTTACCAGTGTGTCTTTGGGCAGATCCCCCACAGATCCCTCATTTATTAAGAGAGGGTCGGAGGCACCTTCTACTTTCTCCCTGGTTCACAGTGTAGGAGTAAATGGAGACTCCATTTTCATGGGTGCCTGGCCCAGAAAGGTTACCCATTGTTCTGTATTCTGTATCAGTGCTGTAAACATAGAAACTGCCAGAAAATCCACACCCTGTAAAGATGTGCACAGTGTGTACAGTTGAGTAAGAAATACCCAGTGTGCACCATAACCCTAGTGAGGTTCGGCCGCCTCACAGCTCCTGACTGAGCCCCCGTAAAGCCAGTTGAGGTCTGCCCCCCCCCCCGTTCCCCAGTGTCCATACCCCTTCCTTTTTGGACTAAGAACCGGCAGTGATGTGTGGAGGCCATGGAGCGGAAGAGGCCCAGGGGCTTCAGTTTTCCACCTGCTTGTGCCCAGTAAAGTTTGTTATGGGGCAGCGCACATGCTCTTAGAGCATGCCTGGAGTACAGCACACACCAGGACAGTTGGTTCTTGGCCCTTTTACTCCTGAAGGACCGGCAGCATTTTCTGAGGCACTCCTGCACCCTTCCATGAAAGTAGGACTGTCCGCGGGTGTGGGCACACAGCGTCCCCAGCCTGTCCTGCCTTAGGCTGTGTCGATGTACCTGTGTGTTCGGGTCAGGTATGCAACTGTGTCTTATGCCTCCGTGTCCGGCAGAGTCACAGAGTGGTCTGCAGTTGTCAAGGCCACCCGTGGCCTGGTACTGGCTCTCCGTAGCCTGGCGAGCTGCTGTAACGGTCGAGGAGGCTTCCACACACCTCCTCTTTGTAGCCATGTTTTTATTTTATGTGTGTGGCCGTCCTGCCTCTGCACCGCACATGTGCAGTGCCCTCAGAGGCTACAAAAGGGTGTCAGGTGAAATTGCATGTGGCTCTGCATGTTGCTTCTGGGAAACCAAACCTGGACCCTCTTCAAGAGCAGCCAGTGGCCTTAAACTCCGAGCCGTCCGTCAAGCCCTCTCTCACCTTCTGTTTGGCTCTGTAACAGTGTCTTTCTCTGAAATGATCAGATAAGT